TCCTCAGGTGAGATTCCACGGGATCGTGGAATGGTTTGGGTTGGAGGAACCTCCAAGATCCTCCAGGATAAAACCCAGTCCCATCCCGTTTATTAACATTTACTCCTCAACTTTGCTCCGTCCCATGTTTTTTTTTCCACTCCTTTAAAACCCCCCCAGAAACACCAAGTTCTGGCTCAAAACTCACATAAATAAGGAATTTTGGGGGAAAACACCCTGATTTGAGAACTTTCATGGATTATTATCCCACCAAACACCCCCTGATTCCAACCCACGCCGGGAATGCCGCGAGTCCCGAATTCAGGATGGGGGTTGTTTGGGTTTTTTTTGGTGAGATAGGGATGAAAAATTGGTGTAAAATTCAGTTTTCCAGCTGGGAAAGGCGGGAAGGGGGGGCTGGACTCACCTGTCCCCGACGGCTCCGTAGCGTCCCCCCGGCATCCCCTCAGAATCTGGGTGGGCTCCCACGTCCAGCCGCTGGTTCATCTTCCCGAGGCCGTCGCCGCTGTCGGGCGCCGCGTCGGCGTCGGAGTTTCCCATTTCCCAGGAATTGCCGGCAGCTGCTCCGTATCCGTACCCCCCCGGGTTATCCTGCCCGTATCCATAGCCGTAATTGTAGCCCTCGTAACCTGGAGAAGCGGGAAAAGCCGGGAGTCGGGATCGGTCCCGGGAGTCGGGATTGTTCCCAGGAGTCAGGATCGTTCCTGGAAGTCGGGATCGTTCCCGGGAGTCGGGATTGTTCCCAGAAGTCAGGATCGTTCCTGGGAGTCGGGATCGTTCCTGGAAGTTGGGATCGTTCTCGGGAGTCGGGATCATTCCTGGGAGTTGGGATCATTCCCGGGAGTTGGGATCGTTCCTGGAAGTTGGGATCGTTTCTGGGAGTCGGGATCGTTCCCGGGAGTCGGGATCGTTCCCAGGAGTAGGGATTGTTCCCAGGAGTTGGGATCGTTCCCGGGAGTTGGGGTCGTTCCCAGGAGTCGGGATTGTTCCTGGAAGTCGGGATCGTTCCCAGGAGTCGGGATCGTTCCTGGGAGTTGGGATCATTCCTGGAAGTTGGGATCGTTCCCAGGAGTCGGGATCGTTCCCGGGAGTCGGGATCGTTCCCAGGAGTCGGGATTGTTCCCGGGAGTCAGGATTGTTCCTGGGAGTCGGGATCATTCCCGGGAGTCGGGATCGTTCCCAGGAGTTGGGATCATTCCCGGGAGTCGGGATCATTCCCAGGAGTCGGGATCGTTCCCAGGAGTTGGGATCGTTCCCAGGAGTTGGGATCATTCCCGGGAGTCAGGATTGTTCCCGGGAGTCGGGATTGTTCCCGGGAGTCGGGATCATTCCTGGGAGTCGGGATCGTTCCCAGGAGTCGGGATCGTTCCTGGAAGTCGGGATCATTCCCGGGAGTCGGGATCGTTCCCAGGAGTCGGGATCGTTCCCGGAAGTCGGGATCGTTCCCAGGAGTTGGGATTGGTCCCAGGAGTTGGGATCGTTCCTGAAGTCGGGATCGTTCCCAGGAGTTGGGATCGTTCCCGGGAGTCAGGATCGTTCCCAGGAGTCGGGATCGTTCCCGGGAGTCAGGATTGTTCCTGGGAGTTGGGATCGTTCCCGGGAGTCAGGATCGTTCCCGGGAGTCGGGATCGTTCCCGGAAGTCGGGATCGTTCCCGGGAGTTGGGATCGTTCCCGGGAGTTGGGATCGTTCCCGGGATTCAGGATCGTTCCCGGGAGTCGGGATCGTTCCCGGGAGTCGGGATCGTTCCCGGGAGTCAGGATCATTCCCGGCCGCCGTTTCCCTTCGAAGCCAAAATTATTAAAAACAAAACAAACCCAATTTTCTCTTTAATTCACCCGGAATTTTCAACCTCTGAGCTCCCAAAGGTTTTAGGGAACAATTTCCTCGTGCGAATCCCAAAAAAACCCCCAGGAACAGCCTCCATCCGACAGCTCCGGATGGGAATAACTGGGATGGGAATAACCATGGATGGGAATAATTGGGATGGGAATAACTGGGATGGGAAAACCACGGATGGGAATAACTGGGATGGGAATAACCACGGATGGGAATAACTGGGATGGGAATAACTGGGATGGGAATAACTGGG